GCTCAAGTCGCGAAAGATCGTGTTCGTGCCCAAGGAGAAGTAGAATGTTTGAATTTGATTTTGATGGTGTGAAGAATTGCAGTGTTATCGCGGCTTTATCGACTAATAAAGATAAATCAATTTTAAGCAAAACCAAACACACAACAACAGCATCAGAAACTACCAAGTCAATGTTCTCTTCCCACGAAGAAATAAACACAAAAACTATAAAATTTGAGAGAGCCAACCATATGATCCAAATAAAACTAGCTAAATCTATAACAACTTGGGTATGCCAATACCAAACGAAGAAAATCGGAGAATGAAATGCAATGAGAGGGGGATTAAAGCTAAAGAAACTACCAGATATAACATTGATTGTGTATAGCATGGATAATTCAATTATGTATTTAAAGAAATAAACAATTGACAAATAAATGGACATGATTATTAAGAAATCATTCCAGAGAGGCGGAAATGGGATATTTTGAGTTGGCTTCAAGAATGTATGAAGTCTGATATTTGGGGAAAGAATATAAGAGAAAAGCGATGATTTATCTCCATGATGATTTCTGAGTTCTTAAAAAAAAGTCGAAGTCTGGCGACTACACTGAGCGGTTCAGTATTAGGCACTAGTTTAATAGTGAATTATTATTATAGTAAATAATATTCAAGTTTATATTTTCTTGGCTTATATTCTGATCACTTTTAATTTGCAAAAGTAAAGATTACAAAAATTTTTTTTTTCATTTTTACAGTCCCAATAAAATGCAAACAAATAATTTGCCACGCAATATAAACAATAAAATACAATTATATTCGCTTACCAATACATGTTATCGGCCTTCAATGTCCATCTGTTTAAAGGATTCTTGATTGCCCATTGCCAATTGTATTAACTGGGATTATCTACATATGTTGGCAGTATAGTTGATCTGTATGGAAAACATAATTAAGAAATATTTTTGCAAGATCTATCGTCATTTATGGACAATTTTCAATAGATACTTTCCATAAGTGACGACAAATCATCTCCATTTTTGCATATTTTATTGGATTAATTGTTTTATTTAGAAGCTTAAAGTAAAGTATTATTTTAATCATCGTTCATCATTCTGTCCGCTCGATTTCCTCATCGGCTTAGTGTGTGTGTGTGTGTGATTCTACATATATCTATAATTTCCACTTTCAATGATTATAAATCGCGTCTCTCGTCCCAAGCAATTCGGGAGGAAGATATAAAAAAAAATTCAAAATGAACTAAAAATCGCTTCTTCAAATAAAAAAGTCTCGTACTGGCGCCGTTTACAAAAATGCTCTCCGACATGTTGTTCTTTGTTTTATTAAAATTAATATATATTTTGCTTTATGTATATAATTAATAAATTTTTAGTTTAGGCAAAAAACAATAATTATGCTCCTCTTTTCGTTCTTATGCTGGGATCTCATTTAATCTTTATATTTTTCATGCTTTGCTTTTCTGTTCGATTAGTTTATGGATTTTGTTGCTGAGTTTAAATTATGAACTGATTTTTCGCATATTTCTCACAGGCATTTGCTTTTTTCGCTGCTGTTTTATTTCTTATATAAGAAGTTGTTGATTGGGACTGAAGTAGAAGTAAAGTAACCAAACACGATGACATAGTTCATGACGGAAGGGACGACGACGACCTTTTCATAGTGACGCTTCTATCGCATTTTTCGCTGCTGTTCCCTTTACTTATAGTATAGCTTGCATTTGGTTGTTGTTGTTGCTACAATAACCGCACTCGATCTTTATTACGTTCATTATAATCATTCGCTGCCGCAACAGCAACTCGAAGGAGCAGCCGCCACACAACCTCTTCCACAAATGTGGGACCTTGGTCTTGGACTTGGACTGATGGGATTTTCCTGCTATTATTGAGTAGAGTGTGGTTGCTGCTCCTGCTGGAGTTGCAGTCGTTGCTGCCGCAGCTGCTGCTGGTGTTGCTAACGGATGTTTGACGACTAAAAACAGCTTCCTTCTGGCGGCTGTGCCAACTTCAGGTTCTCTTTCATGGTCATAATCCTACGGATTTCCTGCAGCATCGTTTTTATAGTGTACTCGCGACTCCACCTGGCCAACATCTGAACTGATCTATGATCAACCTGTGGGAATTTTAGTAAGACCATTAGCTTTCCTTTCCCTCTAACACGCAATCGCATTGGTTTTACTCACCACGCCATTGTTCTGGTTAATGCAGTTAATGTTTACTTTAGTTAAAAACCTGAGCGTCGGTGGCTCATCCGGATAGCGTTCGCCGCACTCGATCTTTAGTGAATACATTCGATTCTCGAATGGCGTCTGTAAGCAAAAGAATTTTTAATTACTACTTAATAAGCCACGATTGATTATACGCTAAATACTATATACAATAACGACCATAGTGTCGATGAGTCAGGTATTCATTCCCATCGGCTTTCTATTTTCTACTGCCACTGCAACTGAAATCATGATGGGGTTCTGTTGGGAGACCCTTCCACCCTAACTCCTAAATGATTCATGCGGCGGCGCGCGCAACACTCCTAGACTATACCAAATTAAATGCAAATTTATTTTCTTTTCTAGTTTCTTGTAGATATATAAATGGAAAACTATTTTCTTAGAAAAATGCTCATTAAAAATAAAATATTCTTATGAGCTTACAAAACTAACAGAAAGTTCTCATACTAAAAATAATGATAATTCAGAAAACATTTTTGAGATCTTTGGTCTCAATAGTGCTCATAAACTATAAATATATTCAAGAATTTTAACTGAATGTTTATTAAATTTAAAAAACCTATTGGGATAATAAAGCAAAAAACTTAGTTTCATGTGGCTATTATTTTCTTAAATATCATTTGTTTCATTTTAAAGATGACCTTCAGCTTTAATATACCAACTCTCCATCTCTCTAGACAAACAAAACCCTCTTTATATACGAATTGCGCGAGTGCCATTAAAAACGAACCTCATATTCATCATTTTACGCAACTTAGGCGATAAAATGTCAATAATCCTACCGAAATAGCTGATAATTCGTGCTTATCTAGTGACGTAGCCAACAGAAAAGTGAGGAAAGTGCTGTAATGGGCCATACACTACTCCAATCTGAATGGAAACTTACTCTAGGCGGACCGATGATCATGCCGATCCAGTAGGTGAGCGTCATGTCGTCATCGTTCTCCAATCCCCACGATATGGTGCCATCGCCCACGCCCTTCTGGCCCTGATCCAGCTCCTCCAGTAAGCGGAAATTTCGTGGCACCACTGCAATGTGAAAAACAAAGAGGTGAGAACTCGATGACATAATGCATTTTCACTGAAAAACTTTAATCTTTAAAGACTGTCGTTAACTTTGTTGGTAGCATGTTTTTTCTGCATACAAATGTTTGTACTATTAATTTAATACTTTCCAAAACAATTTATTGATTTGAAAAAAGAAATTCCTTAACGATTTAAGCCATTTGGTAATATTCAAAACTTTTCACAAGTATTAAGAGCTTAAGAAATCCAATTTTTCCAAGTGTATTGTTTTGTTAGAATGCTGGCGATAATCAAAAATTCCGATGTTGTTATCCTGTTTATTATAGAAATTCCAAGTTTTAGATTGTTTTTAATGTTATTTTATTTAAGTGTGCTGTTATATTGTTTATAGTTTTCGTCTTATGCTTTTTTTTTTAATTGTTATCCATCGTCTTGAGTCAAAAATAAAAATATCAGGCCAATATTTTAGATAAAGAAAAAAATAAAACCAAATTTTGGTTCACACTTATATAGCCATATTTCCTCTTAGTGTGGGGTCATATGGGTACGCTTTTTGTTGTTGTTTGTGCTCTGCGTCTTGTGTTGTTTTTGTTTTCGCCCGTGTGACTTTGCACGCATTTTCGTGCAGAGAACAAAAAAAATGCGAAGAGCACAAATTAAAAACCAAGGGCGGTGGAGGGTGTGTCGGCGGGGGGCGGGAAGAAACATAATTTCTGCATTTGCAAAAACAATCCAAGCAAATGTAATTTGCAGCTAATTTAATTAGAAAAGAAGACAGCTTGCAAAACGCAAGTGTGCAAAAAAAAAAAATTAAAAGTATGATGGCAAGAAGAAGCGATTGCGAGCGAGAGAGACAGAGAGCGGAGGGGGTAGTGGAGCGGGTGATATTTCGGAAAATGTCAAGTCACGAAACGAAATTGCAACGGAGTTTTTCCAAAGGAAAAGCGGGCAGAGAAAACTGCAAGAGCGGCGTGGCCCGTCCGCAAGAAAATATCCATTCGCTTTTATCGGCTTTCTTTCGTCTTTCGCCCTTGCTTTCGTCTTCTTTTTCCCCGTTTTTCACACACACACACATTGCGGTTCGCCTTTCAGGCTCGTTGCGGCGGAAAAATCGACGCCGGGCAGCGGGAAATGCGGAAAACGGACGGTCAATAGTGTCGGGCTGGTGCAGATCGCGTTTATTCGCTGGCAAATCGTTAATTTATCAATTTTATTTCTTACCAACGCCGGTACTTGATGTATTCGCCATTGTGGTTAATAGTGTGACCGCGGAAAAGTCAAGGAAACAGTGTGACCGCGAATTAGACAAAGAAATATACCGCCTTTTTTGTAAATCATACTTTTGGTGACATTTTCAAAAAATACCATTATTGAATTCGAATTACAATTAGAAATGTTAAGATAAAACGTTTTTAGCAGTAGCATTTGTTATAAATGTTTTAATTTGTTTGTTCTATTTCGTAATTTTATATTTTATTCTTTAATATTCCAATCTTTCTGTAAGCCAATTAAGGAGGTGCCAATAATCTGTTTCTGTATTAAGTCTGTTTCTCATGGCTGTTAATTTAAAACAACGCTGTACCTTATTTTTTAGTCCTTAAAAATGCAGTCAGACCATAAATAAGTTATACAATTTTTTTTGTACAATTTAAGGGGACGAAGAATATATATGAAAATTTGAATGTAGATATGTTAATCACGAAAAAAATTTGGTCCCACCAAAAATACCAGATCGCCTGGCAGCTGCTATGTTATCAGCGCTGTTAAGTAACATGACAATCTGTTTAATGCAACGCGTCAGCTTTTTAAACAAACCAATTTCGTGGGCAATTAATATAAATTGGCGAATCCACCGGCTGACCATAGATGCAATATCGATAGAGGAACCAAGATGGAGAGCCTCTACCACCAGACCAATAATGCGGTAAAGGAAATTGAGCGGGACTTCCAGCGGTTGAGTCAACTTAGTCCCCAGGAATCCCTTGACGTGGAAAACGGAATTCAACTGAAGATTACCCAGGCCAATTCGTGGGTGTTTAAAACTTATGCATCCCTAGATATAGTACTATTAATGAATTTTGTTCTGTAACCAGTAACTGCGATCGATTGGATGTGCTGCTGTTTAAGGTTCCACCTTCCCAGAGGCAAAGTTCCAAACTTCGAGTGGATCAACTGAAATATGACTTAAGACACCTGCAGACATCCCTGCAAACCGCCAGGGAACGAAGGCAGCGGAGAATGCAGGAGATTTCGGAAAGGGAACAACTACTCAATCACAGATTCACGGCGAATAGCGCCCAACCGGAGGAAACCCGCCTTCAACTGGACTACGAACTGCAACACCATTCCCAGCTGGGAAACGCGCATCGAGGAGTGGACGACATGATAGCCTCGGGCAGTGGCATCCTCGAAAGCCTTATATCCCAAAGAATGACCTTGGGTGGCGCCCACAAGCGAATTCAGGCCATTGGGAGTACATTGGGTCTGTCCAATCACACCATGAAACTAATAGAACGCCGGCTGGTCGAAGATCGTCGGATATTCGTTGGCGGCGTGGTGGTCACTTTGCTTATCATCGCCCTGATCATCTACTTCTTAGTGCTCTAAGAGCAAGCAGCTTGTTTGGGCGAGTTTAAATTAAATGTACTCTATTTTGTAAATCGTTAAATGCACAATGATGAGGGTGTGTAAATTAGTCATCGCTTTCCAGAGAGATGTTGCTACCAAAGCGCTGATACAAATGGGCCTTCAGCTCGTCCATTTCTGCCTTAATAACCTTGGCCTTGGCCTCCACGCCTGCGATCTCCTTGAGCACCTGATCCTTGGTCTCCTTCAGCAGATCCTGCGTTTTTTCCAGCTTGTGCGAGAGGAACACCTCGCCCACCAGGAACGGTATGTCCTCGTCCTCATCGAACAGCTCAATCTCCTCCAGAGCCTCCTCCACGCACTTCAGCTCATTGCGCTTCATTTCCAGCTCGGCCTTGAAGTCGTCCATGCGGGCATTGTGCTTGGCAAAGCGGTTGATCCGCTGCTGGTCCTCGAAGGAGATGTGCACGTCATCGTGCTGGAAAAAGAAACTCAATTAGAATAGAAGAAGTATAGTCTAATTTTGAGTTTTCCATGCCCTGACAGTCAAATTACGTATACGAAACCTCTTCCAAGAGATAAATCTTTTTAGAATCGCTGAATTCGGTAGTATAATATACGATCTAAGCAAACTGGCATGTGCCTTAACAAGTTCAGAAGTATCTGCTTATTTTAAAAATTTTCAACCGTCCATCATAACTTATTTGCAAGTCTTTCTAGTTTCTTCGTACTATTATTAAAAATAGTACAATAAGCTACAAAAGGATACTCTTAAGCTAGAATGTTTAAAATTTAATGAGTGACTAAGGTGGCAGATGGACAGGTTTTTCCGTATTCAATGTTTTCTGATAAAACTTATTGAATAGAGGTGTTTGAACATTATGGAATGGCAAAAACCCTATGTATTCTGGAACATAAACATCAAATTTATGTTGAAACACCTATATGCCAAAGTATATTATTTTTAGGGGCCACCGGAACAGACACAAAGTGAGGTTACTTTTTACCCTCATCAGCTGCCCATTGATGATTCACTTATACTCACGTTCTGGAACACCTTGTTTGTACCGCTCGCTACTTTTGCTGCCATTTCTCGGTAGTTTTTAATGAATTTAATAAATAATTTATGCTATTTTACAAACAGTTGCTGTTTCGGTGCTTGGCAAAAAATCTAAGATTATTTGTTTTACATTCGAGTGTTGACAAACGGCGAGCGGATAACAGAGAAAGTTAAAGCGCTAGGTTATTTTTAGGCAGTGCTGAATTCCTAGCCGTTTAATTTACTTTTTTATTTATTGCAAATGTAAAGGTATCTTACCTTTGTTGATACTTAAATACTTACTTCTTAAATATATCTTTAAGGCTTATTGTTTTTGATTAGAGATACAATTTTTAGTGAATATCAAAGAATATTTCCAAAAATCTAGCTAGGTTTTCAGCTGTTATGTATAAATAGTTATGTAGATATTTGTGGCAGCACTGTTAACAGCAGTGAGTTTACATAATTGCTTCATTTAACAGTGTAAAATAATGTCTAAGAATCCTATTTTACATTACATATATGGTTAACGTATTAATTGAATATTTTGTAAATACACCTATTTAGAAATTAAATGCTCTTAAAGATAAATGAACATTAAGATTAAAAAAAAGCAAATATTGTGACATTATGTAGTAACGATGTATACAGTATGAAATCGCTGCGCATAATAACTAAAAATTTAAATAATTAAAAAACGCAAAATACATGTCCTTACAAACTTAAATTTATTAAAAATTTGAATGCAGAAAAGCAATATTTAAATATTCCTTGTCAATGGACATGAAAAATGGCTATGAAATATTAATTTTTTTGTCATGTATCAAAAACTAAAATCATTTCAATTTAGTTACAAAGTATATACAAATATCGTAATGCAAATTTACAGCATGTGCTTATGATATAAAACAAGCTTTAATTGTTTTAAAAATATTAAAAAATACTTATTTTTGAAAAATAAATAGTGCTTGTGATTTCTCTTAGATATGTACCATTTATTCGTCACGAATTAAGCCCACCACATAGCTAATTAGTCAAAGTTATTATTGTTTCCTTTTTGGCCATTCGATTTATTCACTAATTGTTTGCACATGTCACAAATTAAGCAAAAACTAATAAATTATTTCAGTTAATCACCGTAATTAAACGGGATTTCTTCACCCGATGCAATTAAATTTCCGTTGCCAGCTTAGGAATTTCCCATCCCTTTTCCCATTGAATTCCACGCTCCATCCGCATTAAGCGGAGTATTTCGGATGGAGAATGCATTTGCCAGTTTCATTTCCCCTTTGGAATATTATCAAAATATGCAAATGCAATTAGACGGAACTTAACACAATCCATTAAGGGAGCGAAAGAGGAAGAGAGAGTGTTAATATCCTGAAGATGACTCCGCTTTTCCTTTCGCTTTTCCACCGAAAATCCCTTGAGCCATTGTCAGTTGTAGAAATCGAAATTATTTCAGTTTTAGGCTTTTATGTGCCATACGGGAAGGGCACTGGTCAGAATAAATAAAGTGCAGAATATTCGCTCCAGTTGCAAATTATTTATTGAGTTAGAATGGCATCAATATCAATTGCAACTGAGTAATGAAATCACGTTGTTTGTTGCAACAAGTTGTTTGTTGAATTTTATCTGGGTATCTTGTGTATTGAAAATGTTATCAGTTTATTAGTTTAGTCTGGCTTTTTGATTTAGTAAAGGCTTTAGCGAAATGCTTACCTTTAAATAAAAATGAGTATTGATTTTGTGCGATATCTGTTAATTTATTTCCATTTCCATTTAAATTAAATTTTAATTTGTTGTTTTATGAGTGTAAAATGCAACAATAATTCTTGTTGAAAGGATTTGTTTGTATCATTAACTATTTAAATGAATAAAGTATACCTAATTCTGATTGTGTTTGCACCTGAAAAACAAATTTAAACAATCATTTAATACAAACTAGATAGTTATTTATTGATAATTTGTTTATTTTTGTTTTTTATTATATTAAATTTACCTTATAAAAATATTTGTTGTGAACATATCATTTAAAATTTAATTATAGAATTTAAAATTTATATAATAGAACTAGGAGCATAACTTTACAATGTTTAAATAAATTGTATACTTCTTTTTAAATCATCAGAATATTTTTAAGGAAACCAAATTTAAGTATTGATTGTTTTTAATTAAGAGGATATTCTTAACCAACAAATGACAAAAACGATGCTTTGTACCTCTTTTGCTGTCTTTAATTGAATTACTTTTCATTGACCTACTTTCGGGTCATCAAGTGATGCCCACATCGAGTATCTGACATATGGGCTGAGTCCTTGGAAAAAGGATTTTCCGCTTCTCTAGTGCGTGGATGCTGCCACACGAGGGAAATCAAAAGACATGGCGTCAATCAGTTTTCCACTAAACCAGGCAGATGTCGCCTCCTGCGGGCTCTTCGAATGCTCTCCCTTTTGAAGTCCTGTGGGTTTTCCCTCTTCCTTCTTCGCCAAGTGGAAAACTGGCTGCAATTGGCGACCCATAGTTAAAGGGCCCCCATATGAAAGATAGTTAAACTTTGCTTAGTTCGGGTATTGATAAATTTCGGGTCCTGCAGTTGGTATTTACATTTGTCCAACTATTTCATTGTTTGTCCATTTTGCTGGATGGATGTGCTTTGATTTCGATTTCATTGCACACAGGTGCGCACCAGGACAATTCGGTTCGGTAAATGCTGTTTGATTAAGCCAACTATTTGTAGTTGTCCTAGCTGAGTCTTTACATTCAAAAAAAAGGATGATTTTTGTTTTGAGGTAAAGTTAAAAAAATTAATACAAATATTTTTTAAATAATTATAACATATCAATATGATTTAATTACTTTTCATTTTTTTTTGTATTAAGCAGACTTTAATATCAACGTTTCTCAGTCCCAATCACTGTTCTTACAAAATTTAAATTTAACCTAGTGTTTTAAACGTTATAAATCAACATTTCATTTTTTCGATGTTTAAAATAAGTTTAATCCAGTTGTGATATTAAATCACATTTACCCCAATTATTTTGAGTACATGCACTTCTCTACGTCTTTTGTATTATATTTTACAGTTCAAATGTGCCAACTATTATTTATTTGCTGCTTCTATTTGTGGCTGAGTCTAACTTTGGTTCTCTTTTATCTCTCCTGAGTATCATAGTCTACTATAGAAATTGTTTATGTTTAATTGGAGTTTCGGCTTGAATATGCATGCTTTAAGTTGCCCCGAGTGAAGAAAAACTCCCCCTTGAAAATTGAGTTAACAACTCCGGGTTCTCATTTCGCATTTCGCATTCCGTGTTCGTTTCTCTTTTTTCTTTGGATTCGATTGCAATTTGTGTTATTAAAAGCAGCCGCTGCGTGGGGGCTCGAATATAGCTTTAATGCGTTAATTTATCACGCTAGGCCCATCCTATATAGCTACTTGTATCTCGACATGAGAGTCACGTTCCCGCCGAGAGTCTGTGTCTCATGTCTCTGATGAGAGGCTCCAAAAGGATTTATGGCCTCACTTAAGTTTCGCCTCCTGATGGGCCACAATTTGAGTTTTGTATTCGGCTGCCAGACAGGTGCCATAAGTAGGAAGAAAATGAATAATAATAGCAGCTACTCATATATGATTAACCCGATGAATGATAGGCCGAGTGGAATCACTAATATGCTCACTTTCCTAATGTGCATTTAATGAGTGTATGACCATAGTTTGTCCAATAAGTCATTAAGTCAGGCCTAAAATAGGCACCTTCGATAACTTACAAGAGCACTTTCAGTATAGAAAATTAACTAATAAGAATATCAATATTTAGCACAATTTAATTACACCTCGAATTGTTATTTTTAGAAGCACCTATACTAATGGGAACTAGGAATATAGATTATTTATAATTAATTTTCCTTTTTAGGTTATTTAAAAGGTTGCTTTTTTTTTATCTATATACTTTTTATTAAATTACTTATGACAAATTATTTCAATGTGTCCTGTATTTAATCTTCTGCAATCTAATTTTACTTTATTACAGTTTCATTGTTACTTTAGTGAACTTTGCGGTTAATTGTCAACGGTTTTCTTTTTAATGCCACAACATTATGTGCACAACCGACAAATGTTCTTGGCAGGCCACACAAAAGGAGCTAGCTCCCCTTAAAACAGAAAAGGGGCAACCTGATGAAGTCTCATAAATAAAACATGGAGGTTCTCACTCTTACTCTGGCTGTTCAGGTTGTTCAATTCATAAATAATGAGTGAGTTCTAGGTGAACTCTTCGCCAGACCTTTGAAATGCAAATAAAAGGTATTTTCCTTGCTTAATTCAGCCACCACATGGCGTATGCGCAGTCCATCGTTGGCTTTTACTTTTTTGTGTTTTATGTTTTGGACATTTTACAGTTCAATTGAGTTCTTACAAACAGAAAACAGTGCAGATATGTTGAGGAAAATGTATATAAATTTGTCTTGCCTGGGGGTTAAATTTAAATTGTCAAAACTGAATCCATTTTTTTTAAGTCCTTAGCCTTGCCATTACAAAATGTTCAACCCGTTTCTCTGACATCAACTGCATTGAATTGTCATAAAAATTGAAACACGTCCGCTTTGTGTTCGCTGCTGTTGCTGAACCTGAATCCTCATCCTTCAGCCATTTTTGGGCTGACTTTGAATGGCATTTCTGATGGTGAGTCTGGCCTGCAGTGTTTCTGGTTTTCGGCCCGCTGCTTTGCATACAAATAACGCTAATCTTCTCAGTTGGCCAAACCTATTTCCCTGTCCATGTTAAAACCCATTCTCTCCACCCCCTATTTTCCAATCCCTAACCCAATCGCGCAGTTAGTTTGCCTGCCACTGACGATGTCCCGACTTGGTCCATTTCGCTGATGCTGCAATTTTGCACTTTACACGTGGCCTGCATCCATTCTTTACAGGCGTGGGCGAGGTGCAAGTGGATGGGTGTGGCACACGTCTGGGTGCGCTGAACATTATGAAAATTTATTGTTTTACGTGCGAGTAATTTTGGGCAATTCTGAGAGACTGCGACAAAGGTCAAAGCGTCTAAATCAATGAGGAAAAAAATGAGACTATTAAGTGCAGACTCAGACAAATAGTTTAAACTAAAGTAATCCCACAAAAAAAATATAAAAAAGCTATAAACACTTTTATA